TGGTTAAACGCAGGGTAAGCACCTGAGGCCTTCTATATTTCAAGTTGCCATTGCATCTATTACATTAACCAGAGTAAACAGCCGCAGAAGCTGTCCCGCTTGTATCATGTGGCTTGACTGTTGGAGTATTGTTGCTGACCGGGAGATAGTGGTCATGGTAATTAGGTGTTTGAAAACAGCAGCGCTCCGTGTGCTACGGCTTATGGCACTCACACTGAAAATCAATAAGACAGCTTCAAAAGTCTCACACTGTGGTCTGTGGCGGATTATTCCTGATGGTGATTGAGGACTGGATACAGCAGGTTTATTCAAGAGAAGACGCCGGGAGGGAGCAGAAAATCACAGGGTGGAGAGGTCAAAGCCTAGATGAATCAGTCATCACTGTTGACAAAATAATTACAGCACCACAATCATTTACACAACATTAACCACAATAACAACAACACCACTAAGTTAAAAACACATAGATCTTGGATTTACTGCGGACTGAAAGCTCCTTATTAAAACAAGCTTCAAGTCACCTACATAATAACATATAAGAAAGATGCTGCATGCTTGCATTTCATTTTTCAAGTTTCAACACTGATATAAATAATGAGTTACTTCCCACATTATAAAACAAAGTGATGACAAAGCAGCAGATCAAGGACAGAAGAGTTTGTCTCATTTGGGCCAAAATGTCTGAATGATGCTGCAAATCGACTATCTACTAACTCGAACAGCGTGTGTGCCAGTAGCTTTTAGAGCAATGATCATTTTAATGCTTAAGGAGGATTAAATGCCCTCTAAAGTTCAGGTGCCTAACTTTTAAACCTCTCTCTCAAAAAAGTGTAGCACTGTCACTATTTTTTTTTCCTGCATGTATGTTTTGTCCACAGTCAAATCTTTAGATCATCTTTTTCACAGGGCTCTTTCTTACAAGTAAACTAAAGATTAAATGTTTTCAAATAAGACAATAAACAGTATGTCTTTACAAAACCCTTTCTATTGGGACAAAATCGTTATATTCTTAAAACAAAAAAGTACCTGAGCTGTTATGTACAATACCCCAGCTTTTGGCACAATACGGTGGCATTCATCATATCACAAGTTACAGTAGTTACGTATACACATCCATAGATATATGTACATACATGCAATATTTATGTTGATATATTTATAAAATGTACAACTTTATTTACAAATTATTAGCTCTAAATGCAAGTGGGATACAGTTTTTCAACAATAGTGTTATCTTCAGTTGCTAAGAATGCAACCATGATCAGTGATCACAAGTGCCCTAAGAATTTAGTATTTCAATTCCAGTTTGAAATACTATCCCCTACTGGCACTTACATTCAAATCCTGTTGTATATTTTTAGTCAACCCTCTTATCTGTGATCGTGCAAAGGGTCAGCCTGGGATAACTTCAGTGTGGGGCAAGGTGCCTCGCGGTGACATATCTACCGCTCTTATGGGACGTCTCTGTGAACCTCCCAGGAGTTTTCCTTACAGCCTTGAAGCCACGCACTCATCTCGCATCCTTCTCCCCTGCATTACGCCGCTGACCCTGAGAGGACTTCTGCACATGACTGGAGCAGCCTCAGAGGAAGGCGCTGATGACACAGTATGTGTCTCTGCAGCTCAAAGAGGCGCAGGGCAGCTGAGCACAGCAGACAAAGAGGGTGCCATGTTTGGGTGACCCTAAGGATAGGTTTTGTGTCAGCAACAGTGGCCCAAATTAAGAGTGGATAGGAAAAAATGTCCCCTTGTGCCACTATAGGAGTCCTACAGCCAGGGTTGTATTCAGTGGGGAAGATTGCTGTTCTCACCCTGCAGCAGCGGAACACAATAGCAGTGTCCATGTGCTGATTCACTTATCAGACCTCCGTGTGCACTTGTGTATGTGTGAATGTGAGTTCACTGGGAAAGGAGTCCCCGGTAAAGGTGTATGGGAGCAGATAGGGGAGCCATCCTTCTAAATAACACAACTAATCCCACTGAGTACAGATGGGTAATGCAGTGTGCTTTGGAGGCGTTTAAGGGCTTCTGAACATGTATTCTGATAAGTTAAGTCATCTGTCAATACATGGTACACAATCACGTTGGGAGGCTGCCTCCAAAAGGTTCCTCCGTCTTTATCCTTCTGTGCCCTTCCCTGTAGAGGGAGTGGCCATACTGAGTGCTGATGTCACCCGTAGTGTTTGCCTCTTTGCAGAAGAGGTGGATTAGAGCTAACTCAAACAGTCTCCATGAGCAGGAACCCACAGCCAAATATGAGTGTGTGAGTAGTAACGACCAAGCAACCAAAGAGCCAAAGCTATTTGGAGCAAAACGCTGGCCATCAGCACATCCCTACAGGCTTCATATAAAGGCTGAGCATTGTCCATCTACTTATTCCTCACCCTTCAACATATCATCTGTTATAATACAGGGAAACTCCAGGTTAAGGATTTTATTATTTTATACTTGCAGCCTGGTGCTTTAATAAACACCTTAGGACTGCCTTATTTTTATCTTTTCAAATTGAAGGAAAGTGTAAGACTTGAATGTGAAACCTCAGTGTTATAGCTAAAGATGTTTCTTTTTTGTATAAATCCCATACAAAGCTACTGGGGTGGGCATGAGTTGCAGAGGTCGCTGTGGTGAATGCAGTTTATACATACTTGCTTTGTACTGTTTAACATAATTGTTCTTCTGTATTTTTTTATTTTCAAAAATTAGCTATTTTTCCATCCGCTTGTCGGTTGTCAGGTCACAGGGCAGCTGTCTAAGCAGAGACGCCCAGACTTCCCCGGGATCTCCTCCTAATGAGAAACAGATGACTGAGCCAAATCAATTGGCTCCTCTCGACATAGAGAAGCAGCGGCTCTACTCCAAGCTTCTCCCGTGTGACTGAGCTCCTCACCCTATCTCTAAGGCAGAGCCCAGCCAATGAACTAGCTTTTTTAATTTTATTTTGATAGATATAAAACAAATAGGAACACATCACCTGCTATTTTGAGACAAAGATAGTAGTATAAATATTAAAACCTATCATAGTAAAAAGGGATATCAAATGTTAGTGGAAGATAAATCCTTTTGATCAAAGATAGGCCATACCCTGCGGGCCAAACACAGTTATCCATGCCTTAATACATACATCACATAGTGTTTACAGGTTGATTGATTGAACTAGAGGAGCCTCGGGAGTCTCACACCTAGAGACAAAAACACAGGTGGTATACTGTAGGTAACACCACTTTGATCCATCACACTGTAAATGAGAGTTATACAAGGCAAATATGTTCTCAGATGAAAGCAGAGATGTGCTGCTCTACTGAAGTGTAATAATAATCCCTGTTTGTTGTGAAGTGTATGATCAAATAGAGATGGCAGGTCTGTGCTATAATGAGGGAGGGATTTTCTTTCATTAGATACATTTCAAGTGAACAGTTTATCTACCAACCAAAATTGGATATCAGAACAGCGAATACATGTATATGGCACAAGTGATAACCCAATAATTTATGTCCATGTCCACTTTAATTGGATTGAGCCAAACATGTGCAAACCCAGGTGCAGAGATGAAATATGCTAGAAATTAATATAACGTACTCAGTATGAACTTCTCACTCCTTTTGATCATTGCAATAAAGTCGCCTCACATTTCCCATTGTTTTTTTTTTTGGTTTTGGTTTTTTTGGTATAATTGTATTGCACAAATAAAATGACTTCTGTAGTTGAGCCTGTGTGAAATTCAAACGGTCAAAGTTAATAATATGTTGCTTGATTACATTTTCATTTGTGCTTATAAAGCATGTATGATAGCAATTTCATTTACAATTACTGTTCCAAAGTGTGAGTGCAAAGTTACAAGACTGTGTTCAGATTGATTTGGCAGCAATGTCAGAATAGAGTCGATTCATTTGTATGTTTTAGAGTACTCAGTGTTCTTATGCTCCGTAAACGTACTCAGAAGTTGCATCTTAACGAAAAGGTAATAGTTGCCATGGTGAGGTAAAATGCGAAAACCTAAATAATTTACTACAGTATAAAATAACCTCATAATGTTGTCCACTGATCATGTTTTGAATGATGAGTTCACTTTGCTTCCATCAGGACGACGCTTGGTGGTGATGTGGACTTTGATGTTTGAGCTTTATGTTTGTTTGTATGGGGCTCCACTTCATGTCATATTGCTTAGTTCCTGTGTTTTTATGTTATTTATTTATTTTATGGGTCAGGATTAGCTTTTTTTTTATGTTTTATTATTATTATTATTTTGTATGTGCTGCTCAAACAAATTGCCCCTGGTGGGATGAATAAAAATTAAGCTGAACGCGCAAATTCATACTGAAAGACCTAGTGCAAATTCCCCCTTCCAAGCCAACCACCGGCCAGCCTCCTGCCAACCCTCTGTCACCAAACCGGGCAGTTCAAAAGGCAGCCACTTCCTGACAAGCAGTGCCTCCTGAAGCTCTTAACACCCACCACCTCCTTGGGACCCGCTCTGGCTCCTGCTCTAAGCTCCCGCTCTGGCTCCCACTCTAGATTCCTGCTCTTGGCTCCTGCTCTGGCTCCTGCTCTGGCTCCTGCTCCGCCTACGCCCCATTCACACCATACCCTAGCCACCACCAGTGCTTGGCCCCGGGGGATCTGAGATCATCTTCAGCTGCAATCGATCTCATAGCTGCTAGTGTCACTGCCGGGGTCAATGCGCCAAATAAATAAATCATTTTAATGTATTAATTGTGTCTTTGGTCTCTTCAGATTGAATAGTCTGAATCTGAATCTGAATCTAAAAAAGTGTTTTATATTGTCTGTCTGTGTCCGCTTAGCCTTGATATTGCCCGTCTGTGTTCTGTTTTGTAAATAAATAAATAAAAAGAATGAATCATAATGACGCTCAACTGCAAGCGCTTTATATGCAACCATTGGCTTTAACTTCATTGTCATCTTACAACTTGTTCAGATCGCTGGAGCATTTGCACACATTATTTCCAGACATTAGAAGCCACCTCAGTGTATAATTGCCCATTATGAGTGGGTCATACACCGTCATTGATTGGCTGCTCTCCAACAGCAAGGGCTCGGCGTTCATGCATGTATCTGCTCGCTCTCACCGTACCTTTGTCTTTGTGCTTGTCTGTGCAGTTTGCTCTCAGTTCTCACGCGGAGTCTATGCCATCTTCGGATTTTACGACAAAAAGTCCATGAACACGCTGACGTCGTTCTGCGGGGCGCTGCACACCTCCTTCGTCACGCCCAGTTATCCCACCGACAACGAGGTGCAGTTCGTCATCCAGATGAGGCCGGCCCTGCGCGGCTCCGTCCTCAGCCTCCTGACGCACTACAAGTGGCAGAAGTTTGTCTACCTCTACGACACAGACAGAGGTAGGTGCCGCTGATGGTAGTAGGAAATCTTCTAGTCATAATATTGTGAATGTGTTCTGTTTTGGGCGAATGGGAAATTGTATTGTGTGTATAATAAGGCATTCTTGTATTTTGAAAATGACAGTAAAAACCTTTTACCAACATAAGGCCAAGCAATGTGGTAATTATCACTGATTTTTTTTTCTTATGTCTTTCTCTTACGTCAACCCAGTGGCTGCACACAGACACACAAAAAACAATGTATTAAAAAAGACCCATCCAAAAAAAAGCCATCCAAAGTGTGGTACCTGCATATATTTCGGATTTCCGTGTCCCTAGAGAATCTATGAAGCTGTCCCAGATACTTGGACCTCGACATTCTTGCCCTTCCTTGTGTAAAACTGGGAGCAGAAGAAGCATATCTTTCCCATTATGCTCCTATAGGAAAGCACCGCCTAATGACAACAGAAAACTTTCTATGGACTCATCGATGCGTGTATACCTGTTAAAAGCTTTTTGTTTGCTTTCTGATTGAATTTAGGTGTCTGATAGAAAAAAAGTGAATTCTGTCCGGCTTAGATTAAGTGTCAGCAGCATTTAACTATCGCTGTGAGGTGTAACCAATTGGAAAAATGGGTCATTGCATCATTTCCAAACATACACCTGATATTACTGAGACAAGGCCAGAATATATTTTTATCCATGCCTGTATTGGAAATTAATACTTTTATGACTATAGGCTACTCACTCATTCTGACCATTTTGATGAATAACTGTTTCATAATGGCCAAAAGTGTGCTTTTAGAGTGAATTGGCAATATGATTTACAATTATCGGTTCGACGTTACAAGAAGTAATTTAATCAATCAAAAACAGCATCAGATCAAGCCTTTTAAGACTAAGATAAAAGGATCTCTTAATCTGTAGCATAAAGGCTCGATGTGATGAATCAAAAACAGCATGTAGACTGGGACAAGTGTGGTCAGACCGGTTTGGGAGCAACACTGAACAGAGTAAATTTTTTGCATAGTCTCGTGCTTTGTAAATATACTCAATGTGATTTTCCTCCAAGAAAAAGGTTTTTCTCTTTTGCTATATCCCCCCCCCCCCCCCCCCCCCCCTTAACATGAGTGAGTATGTTAAGATAACCTGACTGCATGGCTTTTCTGTATTAAAAAAAACTCACTTTATGTCAATCGTCAAATGATTATCCATGGGCTCACAACACTGGTAATAAGATCTAAAGAAAAGGTGTTTTTTTTGTTATCGCTCACACTTTGTCAACACTGTCTACTATCTGCTCGTCTTGTGCTAATGGCGGATGCGCTCGTCTGTCATCTGTAATGAGCTGTGCCACAACTGTTTCCTACACAAATACCAGGCTCCATCTCCACTCTGAGGCGGAGAATTAGAGGCCACTGCATCAAAGGAATCGCACTGCCACATTACTGTGCCAATTTGACTATGCACCAGGTCTAATGCAGCCTGTCACTATGCTCAAGTACTCATTTTATGGGATTCGTAACGTCAAAAAGGAAAATTAGCTCATTATCTTTCAATGGAATAATGACGCCCTTCTCCTCCCACCCAAACTTCAATTTATTCAAACAGCAGGTGGACAGGAGATGAGGTAGACGTTGAAAGACAAAAATAAGTCATATTAGCTGGTAAAATATAACAAGAATGTGTCTTTTCATCAATTTTAATAGCTAACTGAATACCGTCAACAAGGCATTTTCTAGCTTTTATTCTTATTTTACTTAGCACACTCAGGGTAAGTAAGTCATTAAGTAATCTATGTTAATCTAGATTGTTGGCAAGAGGGATCCGTGTTTGCATGTTTGGGAATTTATGTTCACCAGAATTTAGGCGCCATTGTGCTGACTGTCCACTGGTTTTTACTGCTATTGTTTGTTTGTTTTAAATAATCTGGGAAACACAGTTAATTTGACAGCATCGTAATTTTGAGAGAAAACTATAAAAAATATAAGATAAAATCTCTGCTTGAATCGTAAACGTGTGAGGATGCTCACAGTGACTAAACATAACCATAGAATCAAAAGCAGAAGTCAGCGTACTAGACCTACTCGAAATTGATGAGTTTGAGATTTTAACCCTTTTACAACATTGTTCTCTGGACCTGGAGTTGTGTTTAGATCTATCCACGCTAATCTCAGGACGTTCTGACAGAAACATGTATCTCCACACTAAAGGCTCCTGTCTCAGTGATGTAATAGTGTGATGTCATTGCCCCACGTTTTGCACACTTCTCCAACTAAAGGTTTTGCTCATGCATACAATTTCTTTTAGCAATTTATCTGCAGCCTTTAGTTTAAAATAAATAAATAATAATAATCACTTTCTCGCTCAGGTGGAAGTATAAGGACTTGCAGACGGATAAAACAACCTTAACCTAACTGACATACATGCTTCACCAGATATTTTCTAATGAAGATATTATTTCAGATTCTATAACATGTATGACAAAATAAAAAAAAACTCAGTATGATATAATTATAAAAGAATGCATCATATTTCTTCTTCATATAATGATTGATGGCTGTGATTGATTATAACAAGCCAAAGCTTTTGCATGCCAAGAATGTCTCCTGGCTTGTATTTGCTGCTTTTTTGCTCATTATAGATAGATCCTGACCTGCAACACACGCTTCAGGCTGCAGGTCCACCTCCCCCTCTCACTCCAAGGCAGAGTCTGAAGAGCGCTTTTAGCCCAAGTCTCGGGGACTTGAAGAGCCTGTAGGTCCAGAGCCTGGGGCCCTAATCCTTACTACAGCTTGGAGATAATGTGTGGTTAATTAGGGTCACTCTGACTGGAACACTCATCGGATCTGCCCCTGTGGACGCGAGCAACCCACTCGTCCTTCAGCACAGAGAACAACTAGCCCTGTGTCTTTCTGTTTCCTCTTGTGTCTGGCAAGTGTCTGGAGCAGAGGTGGATGTAAGAGCGGGGGCGCAGTGAAAGTGCGAGAAATATTGTAATAATAGAATAGGCGTTTGAGAAGTAAACATCTTCTGTTCCACAATGAGACTTGATTCGCTCTTACTTGGATGTTGTTCGTATGCATGTCTCACAGAGCAGCAATTAAAGCGAAGAGTGAGAAAGCTACAAAAAAGGGCCTTACCTCCACTCCAGACCAAATCATCACTTTGAAAAATAAAAATCTGATGCTAAAATATGTTTACAGTATAAACTGTATTAAAACAACAAGATAAACTACAACAAAAATAATTCAAAACTAACATATTGTGATAGCCATACTAATTCATGCCGTCCGGCCTTCAGACCAGACCAAAGCAATGACTTGCCAAAGGACACAACAACAGGGGCGCAAAAAAATAATATAAATATCTTCCCCTCATTTTATGTTTTTCTTCCCCCGATGATAACAAATTAATTCATATAGATGTTGTTTTGACTTTTTAAAACAATTCCAATATAAATGTGTTGAATGTAGTGTAGAATCTATAAATTAATACATAATGTGACGTGTATCAACGCATCTATCGTATCGGAAGACTCTTACAAAACCTCCGCAGTCATGTTGCTGGTCCAAATTTCCAAAAGATTGTTACAAACATGGAAAATGAAATAAACTGCACACAACAAACATAATTCAATTGAACCTTTGTCAAAATATGAAACCAAGGTGAATACTCTACCAAGTGCTTGCCAACACCCAGGGGTCCCCCACACTCCTGTTGAGGTCATATGAAGGGAAGAGAAAGAGGAAACTTTACTTCAGTCAAGCAATTAAGACAGCAGCCGGCGCTTGATGATTTACAGCCTGTTACCTGTGTACGACAATTCCCCATGTTAACTCTATCCCAGTCTTGGAGCGCATGCCAAGTCCCCTTTAGCTCCGCGCTCACTGCCAGTGCTGTAAGACGATTCCTTATTAGAGGCAGGACATTGGTCCCAGGAGGGGATTAAAGCCGTTTATTGATGCACTCCATCCAGCACTTTGGGCGGCGGTGACACTTGGCTCATCAGGCGGACAGATGTGTCAGAGGGAGCGCACCTCTGCTTATCAGGAGCCGCTCCCCTGGCGACACGGCTCTCAGGCACAACTGCACACCTGACAGCCCCTTTAATAAGGATGTGTGTCCTTTGCTTTGAAAGAGTCATGGAAGTTTTGGAAACAAGGCCTTTGTGTTCATTTTGTGTTCAAGTACATTTCCACTCAGTTTTGTCTATGACTTTTGAATTTCTGATGAAAGAGCTCATAAACAGTGCTGCACTTAGCTGTTGCTCTTCAATAAATGAATGGATATTTGGATTTGATGAATAGAAAACATGAATGGATTTGATTCGTCAAGGTTCTGAGATTTACTTTTTAAGCACCATTCAATATTACATTTATATTTTTATATTTTGAGGCTGATGTATTGTACGGTGTAATGTATCATTCAATACACTGCATGCTATTCTGACCTGGAAGCCAGGGCTATAATTATTTTCAATTATGATAGATCACAGAAAGTCATACATTCAACCAACTTAAAGTAGCTATACCCGATTTTTTTTTTTTTTAAATCCTCTGCGTCCTGCGCCCTCTAGCCTCTACAGCGTCCTCTAGCCTCTACAGCGCTGCTAACCACAGTAGCATGTTAGCAGAATTGGCTATAACTCTTCTTGCTGTAACTGCAGACACAGCAAAACAGCCCAAACAACGCCACAGTGAGGAAGAGAAGAGGGAACTAAAGCTAAAAAATAATCAAAGAAGAATCCAAGCCCGGGTGAACATAGCTAGCTTACATCGTATCCTCTGGAGTGACATGCAGTCTATGGGAGAGACCTGCGGGTGCGGGACCGCCTCGGACTATCTATGCTCGGACCACATTCGGACGCAAAACTAGCGGTAATCTTTCAGTTATATATTTTGTTAGCAGTGCGTTGGTTTTGTACCATTTCATCAGTGATTGTTTTACAGCTTACAAGAAGTTGCGCTCCTTCTAATGTTTGCATATATATAAGATCGCAAATAAAACTAGATGGCTCC